CTACAAATGAAAGATGTAAACAATAACAAAATGATAAAATGAATATAAGATAATAGATGTAACAATAAAATGATTCGCGGTCTAGTCTAGCTGCTCTCTACTGCGATAACTTTCGCAATGATACCAAGTGACGTTCATAAATCCTGCACTTATAAGAATACAATCAACGCGGCGATCGTTCGATATCTAAAAACGCTCGCAAGGAAGAAATCCTAATAAATGAAAAACTGATCAACCTCATGGATTCAGACAATATCATAGGAATTCCGGCCAATTATACCGGTAATACGACAGGACGAAATTGCACGACAAACAAATTGTCGGCGACGAAATCGCCCGGCGAATAATTCTGAAGCGCAACGTTTCACTTCGAGCGCATCACGGAGAATTGCGGAAGCGTCGGAATGCGCGTCGCGGAAAATTAAATGTCAAATTAATGCGGACGATAAATTCGCCGGGCGAACGAGCGACGCGAGGACGTGCGGCAAGGCCAGCAAATTTACAGCGCATTACCTGAAATTTAATTCGACGACATATAAACGCGTGAAGTACGACCGATAAGACCGGAGTAAGAAGTGGCCAAGATTCCCTCCTAAAAACGGAGAATCGCCACGGAGATGGCAAAATCGGCCGCGTTTATTTTACGAATATTGAATTCTATAGCGTGGCTGAAACAGCTCGTATTACGCACACCGATAAATTCACTGACATTCTGTCAAGCATATTTTGCAGTATTTTCTGTTTTTTCTATCAAAGAGAGATCGAATATCAATTTAGATATCAGACAACAATCCCATATTTCAACCTCGCGTCGTTATCGGCGCGTAAAGTCGCGCTGCATTTTAATACGGTATCCGTATCTCTTGTCGTTGCAGAAAAGCGAAGCGATGAAAGCCAACCCGATCTTAGCGTCAACCTTCTCGAAGACGACTTTGTTATTCGAGACGTCTATCCATGATCCACCTTGACGACCAAAGATATGAGGAAGTAAATTTAGTAGCAAATCATAATGACAGGATCGTATTTTGGAATAATAATAAAAATAATAAATCAATTTTCCGATCAAAATAAAGATAAATTTCATTCCTCAAATTTTATTTATAAATTTAACATCAGGTTTCAAAATTTTTTTGAAACAAATAATTAATCAATTATTGACATTTTTTATTTAACAAAAAGTTAAATAATTTGTTATAATATAACAATTAAAACTTGTTTTTTGTCGATGTCAATGTCAACTAATTGTGTAGTGCATGTAATATTCTTGGCAAGAAAACAGGAAACAAAATTTTGGAACTATCACAATATGTGTTGCCAGTAATATTAATATATATATATATATATATATATATATATATAGTAATATAAATAAAAGTCATTTAGTAGAATAGATATTTAATATCCTTCCTTCTTCCTATAGAACCTAGAGTTCTGGGTTTCTATGCGAATTTCAATAATAGCGTACTAAAAATAAATTTTCTGATTATGCAAATCGACAGAACGGAATACTAAAGCCCGGTAGTGTTTTCAGATTAAACTTTTGTGTTGGAATAATGAAGCATTTAAACTCGAAATTCGAGTTTCTCATTTTCTAAATCCATGGCAAGCAAATTTATTAGAAGTTTATAATAATTGGTCGCTAATTTGTTACTCGGAAACAGTAAATTTACTTGTTATTACATTAATTTCAGATTCGTTCCACGATATATTTTATCCTCCCCCCCCTCCCATCGTAACGCAATAAAATAAGGTTGTATTTCAGAACGTGCATTGTTGCGCTGCATGTAAAGCAAGATGTTATCAAACGGCCAATATATCGCAAGGACGCATTTAATATTTTGGTACAATTTCGAGACTCTGGATGCAACTTATATATTTCGCCCGTATCGTTCACTTTTTGGGGAAACTATAACACATTCAACACTTATGCACCGATATTGCTGCGCAATGAAGATTTATACGCATCTTCAAATAAAGGCTGAATTGACAACTTATCTCCTTAAAGTGCCAAAACTTCCAAGAACTTCGAAGAAGCTCCTCGAGTATCCGCGAAACTTTCCTGAAATGTACATATAAAGTCACGGCAAACGGAACTCATACTTTGAACTCGTACTTTGAATCAAATGTATTTCACGTCGAAAGATCAAGATAATATTCAGCACACAACGATGCAATGGACGTGTGCAATTAACACGTTGCGTAATGCAAATCCAGATGAATTATATCGTGATTATTGTTGTGCTGCGCGAAGTACAGCGCATTTTAATTCTACGTGCAAGCACTCAGCAAATCGCTTCGTCGGTCGCACGTCCCCGAAACATGGTCGACTGAATTCAAAGCAGAGTTTCACCTCCGACGGCGCGGCATGTCGATCGATCCGGAAAATATTCGCTAAGAAATCGCTCTGGCCAACCGACCGTAACTGTTCGCGCGATGCCGGAAACTGCATAAACAAGGGGAGGCAGGGAATTATCGAGGGGAGAAAGTCATGGACGACTAAACAGAACCGGCGAGGAATAGCGAGGGAAACGGCGAAAAAGGGAAAGACGGCGGAGGAAATAGCGAGCGAGAAGCCAAGGCTGCACACCGGGCACAACTGTAGTCGCAGCCACGGTCGATGTGGTCGTTGCAGCCAGTCGACGAGCATTGTTGGGACATGTGGGTCAACCCGTGCTGCACTTCCTGTGACGACACACCGACATGACGACGAAGACAGAAAGAGAGAGAGAGAGAGAGAGAGAGAGAGAGAGAAAGAGGAAAAGAGGGAAAGATGAAGAGAGACAAAGTGAGGCAAACAGCTGTGAAAGCAGGATGCCATAATACAAATGGAAGGAAGACGAGATTCGAAGCTACAAGAGGACATTGTGTCAACACCTTAAGGTCTAAAAGGCGCGACCCATCGCCTTTAACGTTTCACCGGGAGCTAAATGACCAGTTTGAGGATTCTCGTTAAGGATAACGTCTTAACCCTCGTAATTGCGTAACTGCATGCAATTTGAACTGCTATTCCCGCTGGGAGTTCCGGCACGATGCATTGTGTAATGAAGAGGACTATGTAATCTTTAATTAAAGACCACACGAAAAAAAAATCGAGCATTATCAATGCAAGTTTATCAGTACAAGTACTAAGATTAATAAATTAACTTAACACGGGTGTGATTCGCAGTTTCTGATAAAGATTAACGGTGAAAAAGAGATATTACAAAAAAAAATACGTATATTAATGATATTTAAAAAAAATTGTAACGTATACGTTGTAATTGCCTATTCTGCTAATCAAATTTTCTTGTAATTGCAATAATCTTATTTCTTTCTCGACATATATATATATACACATATAGCTGCATCAATCGATTTTATGGGCTCTTCAGGTTTTACGTGTTCCCAGGGGAAGTTCGTGCCGTTAATGGCAAGTGATTGATAATTTGGTCCATTGGTGCCATTTGGGAATAGCAGAGGCGAAATACGACTGCGTCAACAGCATGCGTTGTTGAAGATCCAGATGCGTCGTTGAATCCGCCATTTCGAATTTCTGATTTTATATATATGTATGTATATGTGATACATATGTATGCGCGTTTGCGAATGAAAGGGACGCGTTACCCTTATCGTGGCCAGGTTGCTGTACAATTTGAAATTGTGCACTCTCAGCAGTGTCAAAATGTTTACACAAACTTGCATATCATCGTTGATACAGGTTGCATTAATTCGATAACGTGCTAGTTTGCGAGTATTACACGCTCCTAAATGTGAAGCACCCATCGATAAAATATTAATCTACAAAATGCGTTGGCGCGATGAATTCATTTTCACGTAGCGAGTAAGCATATTACGCCACGTATTAAATGTTACATTTTCCGGAAAAATTCGTTCTCCCCCAGTATGAATAATTTCTTTTTTTTTTTTGTAGAAGAAAATTTCATTCGCGGAAACAATATGAATACTAAGTGTAAGCTTTTGAGATAAGTCTTAGCAATGAAAGCACAAAATTTCCATTAAAAGTGCAATGCTCACTACAGGTTAAACTAAAGCTAAAAAAATGAACACGATCTAACGATGGTATCGTTGGAAGCGCACAGTCGGTCCTATTTATCTTCAAAACTTCGCTGCGTCTGTATTATCTCGTTGGCCGAAGCTGTGATACTTCGTTAAAGATGCACGAAAATTGTAATTTGCATCCGGTAGTCCGGTATACTTTTAACTAGGTTAATTTCTAGACAGTTTCGCACACTGCGAATCTACTTCTTTCCTTCAAGTTCTGTACATTAGGCTCTTTGTCGAACTTTTTAGCTTCCCCCCCCCCCGTTTCCTTAACGACGTCAAGAGTATATTCTAAAAGGAAATTTTAAATTTAAAATGCGACTCCGTTAATGAGACTGTAATTTCTAACGCGTATCGCGGAAATATACTACGAGGATACCGGGCAAAGAGTAACAAATTTCGTAGTAACTGACGCATATTTAAGGCTACTTGAAGATGTACGAGTCCAAGCGTAAGTTGACGCCGGTGGAATTTCAAATATAACTTCCAAAAGACGTGTACGTAAATGTAATTAAATTTACGATAAAAGGAGCCGAGCGAACAACCTTATAATATATGAGAAATCCATTGCTCAACGTATAGAACGTCAAAGTGAAAAGCGTTGTGAAAGACGTAAAAGATTTTCTTCACGAACGCGTGAGTAACGCCAAGAGTTATATTATTCCCGCGTCCAAGTTTGTTTCACTGCAACTACTGCAAAAGTCATATTTTACGGAACAGCGCTAGATTTAATAACACAGTTTAAAGGTTTTACGCGAAGGAAGCGCGTCATGTGCCCATCGAAAAATGCTCTCTCGCGGCTCTTAAAAACTCCACGGTGTACGTAATTCGTTCGAGATACGCGGCGACTTGAAACCACTTTAATGCCCTCTTTAAAGTTCTAGGTTGCGAGCGGAGATCCTTATAATAAATTATGGCCTCGTTACGTTCGTGAAATTAAAAATTGTGCGTACACTTACCTCTCAGCGAATTTCGACGGGAGTATCCGCGCCCGTTCCCACGAGTCTGTTCGTCACCACCTGTTACAAAAAAAGAAAGAAGATAGGAGAACGTAAGTTAACAGAGGAAGAGATAAAGGTAGTGTAGTGGCATGAAAAAAGGATCAGCCGTAAGGCAGACTTATCCGGGCGCGGCTTCGTTCACCGTGCCCGACTTTAATGTCTGATACGATATCGTCGACGTCTCGCATAAAAAAGCAGCTGTAATTTATCGAATTCTAAAATGTCCCCGGGCTCGAGAAAGAAAAGGCGTTCTTAAAATATAATTTTACATGAAAATATCTGCAGAAATTCAACTATCGAATACGCTTCTTTAATTCGCATTCATTAATCGCATAGTTCTTATTATTGTTGTACTGTCGCATAAAATAAATTCAAGAAATTTGTATAACAGCAACAGTGACAATAGAACGGTCATTTGTAATAATATACAACAAATCCGTGCCGTGAACAGAAATGAAGAAGCATGTGGGACAAAATTATTTTGACATCTGGATATATTTGTTTTACAGTGCGAACAAGACGTAGATTGGCGCGTATTTGCGTCACGTATAACGCGCCTGTAGTAATTTCTCTCGCATTCAACGAAAAATTAACCCCCGCTGCGTACGTGGCGGGTCAAGTTACCGGGGAACCGACGAAAGAAAATAAAAAAAAAAGGAAAAAAGTAAAACAAAACGGAAACCAACAGGCAGGAAGAAACTTACAATGGAGTTTTCCGGGGCGATCCGATTACATTATATTCGCACGAGCGGCAGCGATGTGTGAACGCGTATTCAACCGGCGTTTGCATGCGTAATACCCGCGTCGGATACGACTTAATTACACGGAGTGCCATAAACCCGCGTTGAATCATTGTCACAATCTTCTCGATTCGCGCCGGCCGGCGCCACGAGCAATGGTTTACCGGCCGTTTCTATCGCATGATTTACGCCCGAATGTACTTTGCATTCCATTTATGGGGAAAGGGTGCGTGCGGCTTGCGCAGGGGATAATCCCCAGGTCCGCGGCCTCACGGTAAGCCCCATACATTACGCCTTATTTACACGCGTGTGACAAGTTTCTCGCCCCCTCCCGCTCACCTCTCGTTTCGCCACCCCCTTTGCCCCTCGTGCCTCGATGCATTAGCGTCGCATGCGCGTGTGGAATTCGTCAGCACGGCTCGTTCTCTATTGCGTTGCGTCGTAATTAATATGCGTAACTATGACCGCGTTCCAGCGCTCGATAACGGCGCGCTCGACCCAGGGGGGCGTAATCGGCGATACTTTCTCACACGCGACAAAATCTCGCAAAGCTTCCTTAGATACCCCTTTAACGTTCTCGATAATGGCGTATCGCGTTAATTTATATAACGTACGGACAGGTATATATATATATATATATATATATTGCAACTTTCAAGTTGCGCTAAATTCCAGAGGCTGCGCAGAACCGGTAGTACACATGAAGAGGTAATAATTTATTTTTACGACGTACCGCAGCCGTGCGATAATTTTTTCTTTTTTTTTCGTTACATCGCGTATCATAGTTAGAGAGAAAATAAATAGGGACGAAATATGAACGAGTACGTAACTACCTTAATTGATGGTGGACATGCACGGCTTATATAATAAATTGTATTCTAATATGACTGTGAAATGCACCCGGAATTATAAAACTCGGATATGCGAGCTAATTGCTTAGTTAACAAAGTTGCACATTTTTACAGCACAAGGATTAAACCAAAGTTGTGACACACTATTAATTTCTCTAACTTTAGCGCCATAATATCGCGCGGCAACAGCGCGGCACGTTTGTAACGTTACATGGCTAAATAATGCTCAGCAATGTTGCAACGCACCGTGAAATAATGTAGCGGAGTATAACAAAGGCCTCTTTGTTTAAAACCGTCTTAATTCTCATTAAGCGGCGCGAATGCGGCCATTCACATTATTAGTGCTATTATTTGGAGGTTTACAAAGTTTTCCAGCCTTCATTAATACGTCAGTCAATTTGTACTAAAAAGAAATGCCATAGCTAAGGAAAGTTTGTTAAAAAGTAAGTCGAGAAAAACTTTTTTTTTTATCACTATTCTTTTTGTTATACACGAATACAATAATGCCTTCTCGATAAATGTAAGAGCGCGGATCTTCTCAACGTCTTTGTCGAACTTCAATTTTCTTACTCTGCAACTATCGCTTACCTTGACATTCCAGCCATTGTTATACTCGATACAACTCTTTTGAGAAATATTCTTTTTCAGAGAGAAAACTTAAATACTTTACTGTATACGTCAATTTAGCTTTAAATTTTCCTTATAAATTTAATTCTTGGTATCATTTCGCCAAGCAAAGTGCCATTTAAAAAATATGTAGTAAATATCAAATTAGAAATTATTAATGAAATAACAATATTGAGAAATAATTTTCATCATCAAGCCCAATCAATAAAGTAAATTGCGATGATATTTTAATATCCAATATTTCGTAAATTTTTATTTTAAATAGAAACTCAACATGGAATTCAATATTTAATGTTTCAAAGCATTTTGTGACGCATCCTTTTAATCAAGCCCGCGGCATTTCATGTCTCCGTGTTTTTCGACACGAGGTTTAGTTAAGGGCGGTTACTTTGCACCCTCACGCGGATTATTCGTCGGCGTAACCTTGATAGTAATTAGAACTTCCTACGCTAGATAATCTTCCTGTAAAGGATCACGGTCTGACGCCTACCGCGTACTGAACTTGAAGGGTGGATCAAATTTGCACACGTACGCAGGCACGTGCGAGGGTAAGTTCGTTTGTGTGAATCACGTTTTCATACACACACGCAGTAAACGGAATTTGTACACCTGAATCCGCAGTTCGCGGGATTAAACGGTCGAGAGCCACGTACGCACGTAGTAACCAAATTTTGACAATTAAACGTCTACCGTCTACCGAGTTCGATCAAAAAGTCGAAGGCAATTATTATAGAAAAAAATACAATCTCTTGTATTAGATTCTCGTTTATATGTGAGTATAAAATGTGCTAGAATATACTGCATTTTGTGATATTCTTAGTAAAGAATTAATTACTAATTATTTTGCATTATAATTATTGCTAATAATTATTGTAATATCAATCTTCATGATATATACGTATAAATGTTAAAATTAATTATTTATTTAGCTGTACCTATATACATTTATGTTTTCTATATTGTTTTTTTGTAAATACGTTATTTCCAGTCAGATATGTTCTGCATATTGTAGTTCAATTAGCCTCAAATACTAATGAATGAAAAGGTAACACATCGCCGAAGATTAAATGTACATTGAGACAGTCAGTTAGATAGTTGGCATGCCGAAATATTTTCTAAATCGAAAAAAAATCGTGAAAGCTTTATTCCCAAAAATAACAAGTCTACGATTGCAGCAGAGTGGTCGTGAAATAACATCCGCACGGACAAACTTGGGCGTTTCTGAGGTCTGAGTATTTAACGAAATCCTTGAAAGTACCTTGTTAAAAGACTCCGAACGGGTTGAATGAATAGATAGGAGAGAAGCTCTAAAATCTTTCACGGAGGGAAGTTTGTAAGCCATTAGAAAGGTCATGCACTCCGCAAAACCAACAGTTTTGCAATGCCGTAGTTACATAATTTCCATGAAGGTATAGGTATTTGTGTGGATTAAATACAATTCTTCATATCAGCAAATCTAGAGATTACTGTTATTATACAATTATTATTCATGTTGTACGGAACAAAAGATTTCTACAATGGCAGAGGGGATTTTAGATTTAATCCATATATCTGTACGTCTATATATCTATCATTTGCATGTGTGCGGTGTATTTGTAAACTCATATATTAATTATCCCAATATTAATAGCATAACCGATGCCTATATCTCATAGGTGGTAACTAATTCGCAACGATCGAAGTCACATTGCGGTGGGAATGACCGCACAATAGATAAATAAATCGCGTGATAGATAACATTGATCTAACTATAAATTATATATACATATACATTTGTACGTGTAATTTTCATGCTAACCAGTTAATCGCACCACAAGCGTGATCACATTGCGTCAAATCGCACGTCTATAATTACTGCGTCGAATATTCCGTCAACATATCAATGAATCATAGCGTTCTAATAATATAAATTATTATAAAATGTTAACATAGATTATTCTACACTATACATGTGCGTGTGTGCGTGTGCGTGTGCGTGTGCGTGTGCGTGTGCGTGTGCGTGTGTGTGTGTATGTGTGTGTGTGTGTGTGTGTGTGTGTCAAAATCTATAATTGTTAAAATCCGATTTCACTAGTTAAAACTAGTTTTAAATTTAGTTGAAACAAGGTCTAGGTATAATTTACTGTTTCAACCCCTTGTTTGGGTTTTCGACGCGTTATAGCAAGGTCCAACCCTTCCTCCTCTCCCCCTCTGTTTACAGGACGTTTACAGGACGTTTACAAGATCTATAATTGTATTGTCTACATATAGGTTTTCGGTTTAATGTTTAATCAATCATTCTAGTTTTAAGAATTTGAGTTAACGGATTATGGGTTTATGACAGTAATATATATAATTCACAAACTTATATATTAATGACGTGCAAAATATTCAAACTACATCAATTATCTTTTATACAACTTGTTTCTAATGCAATGTCACTTTAAGTAATTATATTATAATAATAATTAATATTATAATAAACATTTTTTGATATATCGGAGAAATAAATTTACCTATATGAATAACGTGCAATTCCTAAATGCTAGAATGACAAACTTAGAAACAACGTATGTGTATTCATACGTGACATTTCAATAAACAATGCTCTTATTTGTCAAACTGCCATCCTAGATAAAACATTCTTTACAACATCGAGGACGTGATCGCCAAGTTCTCGGCAACTCCAACGAACAAGAACCACCTACCAGCGGCACGCTGTTGATTTGCAAACCGCATACAAAGTTTCACTTAGCATATCAACACGTTATGCGCTACACGATGCAAAACATAGTCCAACAACATATTTTATAAAGACACG